TATTAGGTTATGAGGGATTTTTTTAAAAACATATTTATTTATTATGTATACAATATTAATATTCTGCCTGCATGCATGGCTACATACCAGAAGAGGACACCAAATCTCATTATAGATGGTTGTCCCATGTGGCTCCTGGTAATTGAACTGAGGAACTCTCAAAGATCAGCCAGTGCTCTTAACCTTCTGAGCCATCTCTCCAATCCCCAGAAAAAAATATTTAACTTTCTGTGTGTGGGTGTTTTGCCTGCACATATGTCTGAGTACCTTGTGCGTGGGTTTCCTGAGCTGGAGTTACAGGCAGTCGTGAACCACCATGTAGGTGCTGGGAATAGAACCCGGATCCTCCAGAAGAGCACTCTTAACAGCTGAGCCATCCTTCCAGCCCCTGTGAGGAGCTTTTTAAAGCCTTTTACCACCAGGGGTAAAGCCTGTGGGTTGCTCAGGGAGGGGCTTATGTGTCAAGCTCATCCTAAGTAACCAGAATGCTTAGCTGGTGGGTAAGGGGATGGCTCTGTCAGTAAAATGTTTGAGCACAAGCATCAGGACCTGAGTTCAGATCCCCAGGATGCAGATAAAAGTGCCAGTGGTGTCAGTGTGCACACCTGTAATCCCAGGGCCAGGGAAGCAGAGACAGGGCTTCCTGGAGCTCACTGGCCATCTGGCCTAGCAGAATCAGTCAGCTCCAGGTTTCAGTGAGAGACACTGTTTGACCCTGTGTGGAGTGTGATGGAGGACGATGCCTGGCATCAGTCTCTGACATCCACATGCACATACATGTGAACATATATGAACATGTACCTGATGTGGGATTCCCCTCTGTATGCTGTGAATATCATTGGTTAATAAACTGTCTTGGGCCTGTGAAGAGCAGAATAGAGCTAGGCGGGGAAAACTAAACTTTATGCTGGGAGAAAGGACACAGAGTCAAAGAGAAGCCATGGAGCTGCCACCAGAGACAGACTCCGGAACTTTGCTGGTAAGCCACTGCCACGTGGCAAGACACAGATTAATGGAGATGGATTAAATTAATATGTAAGAGTTAGCCAATAAGAAGCTAGAGCTAATGGGCCAAGCAGTGACTTAATTAATTCAGTTTCTGTGTGGTTATTTTGGGAGCCTGAGTAGCCAGGAAATAAACAAGCGGCCTTCCTACAACATATACCAAACAGACTGCATACACAGATAGATAATGAAATAACTAAGTAAATGGTTTTTTAAAAATATTTATTTATTTATTTATTATGTATACAATATTGTCTGTGTGTATGCCTGCAGACCAGAAGAGGGCACCAGACCTCATTACAGATGGTTGTGAGCCACCATGTGGTTGCTGGGAATTGAACTCAGGACCTCTGGAATAGCAGGCAATGCTCTTAACCGCTGAGCCATCTCTCCAGTCCTAAGTAAATGTTTTTAAAATGCTTAACTAATCCATGTAGAAGGTTGGGGAACTTAGGGGGGAGGTGCTCCCACCATTTTGCTTTGCCTTCTTTAGTATAGAGACTCTTTGTTCCCAGGTGTGGTGTCTGATCATTACAAAAGGGTCACTTCTGGGCCAGGCATCAGCTTTCATGAAAACATATTTGAAGTAAGGTGACCAGTATTGGGGAGAAAGCTTCTTGTCCTCCCCACCCAAGTCTACCTGGAAATAAAGTCATTATAGGGGAAGAGGGACCTGAACAGGGTCTACCATTAGGGATCCTGATCCAGCCACACCTGAAGCCAGTGCCCTGGATTCCCAGTTATGTGTGCTGTGAAATTACTCCTTTTTTCCTGCCAGCTGTCAGTCTGTCATCCACATCCAAAAGATCTTAACCAGTGGCAGTCCTTTCTCCATAGACCAGACATTTTGTTAGCTCGAGGAGAATTTAGACATCTAAGAAATAGAAAGGGGGGGTAGAGAGGTGTGGAGAGGTGGTTACTCTTATAGGGGACCCGATTTCCATGCTCAGCACCCAAATCGGACAGCTTTACAACCCGGTTAACTCCAGCTCTAGGGATCTGACACCTCTGCCCTCCTTGGGACACCTGCACTTATATGCACACACACAGACACATAATTAAAAATAAAATAAATATTTAAAAAGAAAACATAACAGAGGCCAGGAGAAACCTGGTATGATGGTCCACACCTGTATTCCCACCACTCAGGAGACAGAAGCAGGAGGATCACTGTAACTCCATTTCCAGGGAATCTGATGCCCTCTTCTGACCCTGTGCACACCAGGCATGTATGCGGTGTACAGACATACATGCAGGTAAATCACCCACACACATTTAATTAATTAAAAGTTCAAAGTCATCTTTGCTTAAATAGTTAGTTCAAGGCCATCCTGGGCTATGTGAGATCCTGGCTCAAACCCAGTTAAACTCCCTGGAAGAAGGGAGGGAAGGAGGGAGGGAGGGAGGGAGGGAGGGAGGGAGGGAGGGAGGGAAGAAGGAAAGCTGAGCTATAACTGTGATCTTTCTGTAAAGAAGGGATGCTGCATAAACCTCTGATTAAAGGACAAGCCACAACACTTATGCAGGGGATGGTATCCCAGTGCAGCCAAGTTCCAACCTCAGACCATCTGATTCTGGTCACTGCTCTCTCAAGACTTGTCTGCTGGGGCCTCAGCCCAACATCTTGCTAGGAGGAGCTGAGGTCCACCCACGCCACTCGCTCTGACCGCGCTGGCTAGAGGCTCCTCTGTTGGAAGTCCGGCCTTCCGTGGATTCGATACCATCCTTCATTTGTGTCCCACTGGGCAGCCGGCTCAGGTTTCTTTGAGTTTCGGGTAGAGTAAGGCTAATTAATACCATACGCCCTTGCCCCCACCTTGTCCTAGCTGGTTCTGTGTGTCAGCTTGACACAAGCTAGAGTCATCAGAGAGGAAGGAGCCTCTGCTGAGGAAATGTCTCCATGAGATTCAGCTTTAAGGCATCTTCTCAATTAGTGATCAGTGGGGGAGGGCCCAGACTATTGTGGGTGGAGCCATCCCTGGGATGGTAGTTCTGGGTTCTTTAAGAAAGCAGGATGAGCAAACCATAATGAGCAAGCCAGTAAGCAGCACCCTCCATGGCCTCTGCATCAGCTCCTGCCTCCAGGCTTCTGCCCTTCTTAAGTTCCTTTCCTGACTTCCTTCTGTGATGAACAGCAATGTGGAAGTGAAAGCCAAATAAACCCTTTCCTCCTCAACTTGCCTTTTGGTCATAGTGTTTTATTGCAGTAATAGAAACCCTAACTAAGATACTCCCGCCCCCCCCCCAAACACACGCACACGCACACACACACAGGTGCACATGGTAGAGAAAAGTGACTTGATGGAAGTGGAGAGACCCTGAGAGACTCGGGACATGCGCGCATCATTCCATATCAGAGTGCATGTTGCATGGGACCCCGGCTGCCCCAGGGATCAGCCCATCAGCTGCCCAGGTCCTGGGAGCACGGATGAGGTGATAGATGATGCACTATGCATCCAACCTAACTCTGGGAAGTACTCACTGGCACAATAACCACAATAACGACAAGACTGGTTGACCATGTACTATATATTAGAGCTGTGGGCAGGGGGAGGTGTCTGTGTGTGTTGCTCTATTGATTTTATTTCCCCCTTGCACTAGACACTGAGGACAATATGAGACCATTAAACTGTTGGAGGACCCCAAGTGACCCAGTGTCTGAGTCTAGTTCCTCTACATAGCCCAGGCTGGCTCACACTCGCCATCCTCCTACCTTAGCTGTGTGAGTAGGTGGGATCCCGGCTTTGCACCACCAGACTCAGCTCCAATGACTGCCTTTTTTAATTTCAGAGTCTGCTTGTATTTATCAAGCCCTGGGTTTCCTGGCCTAAATGAACAAAACTTGTTTTCTGGCCAACCCAATGTTTATTTGTTCCTCCGTCTCTTAGTGTGTCACCTGTCCTGGAGCCTCACCATCTTCCTTCCGTGTTCTCAGGCGCCAAGTCCCACTTAGCCATCTACCCACTCTCTCCACCACACACTTGCCAACTCACTTCTGTCTGTCTCGTCTTCTTTCAATCGTGTGCCCCACACGGTCCACCTTCCTCCCCATTCACCCAACCTCTTGCCCATCTATCTTTTACCAATATGTCACTTACCTTTAAACACGTCCATCTACCTGCCGTTCACCCACGCATCTATCCTTCCATCCACCCCCCCCCCCACTTCTCACCCATCCACCACCATCTGGTACTCATCTACCTACAAACCCAACCCCTCATCCGCCACAGATACTCATGCATCGCTCCATCCATCCATCTACCCGCTACCCATCCATCCACCCCTCCACCTAGGCATCCTTGAACCTTCCCATCCACCACCTCACAATGGCCCAGGCCTTTGTGTGTTATAATGCTTTGTGCAGGCTGTACTCTGTGAGACCCCAGCACGGTCTCCTGGGTTCTCTTCCAGGCTAGACATATGGGTGCCACCAGAGAGTCCCCACAGAGGAAGCCTTTCCGTGGCCAGGACTTTGAAAGCCATCGACTTCCAGGGTGTGGGGCCAAAAGATGATGAAATACAGAACAACTAAGACGCAGGCTTCCAGCAGAGCAATTAAAGGTAAGCTAATCTCTCTCCCCTTCGAAGGAGCCAGGGAACTCCAAGACACAGAAGAGGAGTCAGCAAAAGAAGAAACCAAAGCTGCAGAGGTGAAGGGCTAGCAAGCAGATGCTCCTGGTATAGTATCTTCCTGAGAGCTCAGCTTCCCTGTCCTGCAGGCTTGGTGTCTGTCCCACCTCCTCTCCTCTTTACTGTCCCTTGCCTAATGCTTCCCGCCACCCAGCCACCCACCTCCCTTCCCATCGCTCTTCTTGATAATCCACCCTCCAAGCTCCCCTATTTATAGCCCTTCCCCTCTTATTATTTACAATAAAGAACGACCTCCCAGGATGAGACCTGGTGGCATAGTGCTTCCTGTTTACCTCCCAGCAGACCGCCTCACCCCCAGACCCAGAAGCTCCCTCTTCTGAATCACACAGAGGCAGTTGGTGAGCAAGGCCACTTTAATAGGCGCGCGTCCATCTGACGGTATGACAGGAAGCTTGAGCGCTGTGTTGAAACGGCAAGGCGTCACCACCGTGACGCTCACAAAATACACCGTGACGCTGTATTTATTAAAAACAACAAAAGCATCAAAACCAAAGCCCAGGAGAGAGCTCATTGTAGGCTTCTCTATCCGGAGACTGGGCCCCCAGCCCCTGCCATGAGCCCTTCACCCCTCTTTTGGACCCCTTACCCACAGTGGGTCCGCCAATGAGAAACTTGAGGAGAGACATGAGATAGGCCTCAGACAGCCAGCACGCTGGCTCATCTAACCCCGGCACACAGGCTCTGGGGCCCAGAGTCTTGACCTCCACTGTCCAGGGCCAGTTTATTCTTGACAGATCTGTGGGGTACACTTGATACCGGCTCACTCCTGGCAGCATAGGGCAAACAAGCGAATCTGCTTAAAGGAGAAGGTTTGATGTCCAGCACATAGCAGCAGACACACAATGAGGTGGCCCAGGAAATGCGCCACAGATCGACCTGAAGACACCAGCACACATCCTGCCACCCAGCCCACAGCCAGGAGTGGAGAGCAGAGGGCCTGCCCACGCAGGTGGCTAATGCGTCTCTCCTCTCTAAGCTGCTGACTCCTCCTTCCTTCAGACAATCTTGTGTTGCCCAAGCTGACTTCAAACTCACTGTGTAGCCAAGTATGGCTTTTGAACCCCTGATCCTCCTGCCTTCACCTTGCTGGGATTACAGGCGTGCCTCACCATAACCCAGTTTATGCAGAACTGGAGATGACTTTGTGTGTGCAAGTCAACCACTCTGCCAACTGAGCTAAATTCCCAGAATTTAAAGAAGGGAAGAAATGGAAAGGGGGAGGAAATGAAATGAGGGCAGGCATGAGTCCTCTGGGTGCTGCTTCAGCACCTCAGGTCCCCGCCAGAGCTGCCTGGCCTTAACCATCTTCCTCATACTTGACTTCCCTCATGATTGTGGCTGAGGAGACACCACCTTGAAAGGGAACTAGCCCTTCGCTGAGCCAGGTGAGCATCTTGGGACCAGTCCAGCCGGATTCAATTAGGATGGGGCTCTGAAGGGCTTCCCTCTAGCACACCAGAACTGAAGCCTGTGAGACCTTCAGCAGCTATTTCTGCCACTTTCTTCCTCCCCTTCCAGCCGTGAGGAGGCAACTGGGGGTTGCCATGGAAACTGGCTCATCCTCCCACAGGAGGCTTGCCAGCTCTGATTTCCTGCAAAGATAAGAAGCAGGCAGCAGTGGGGGGTCACCCAAGCATGAAGATGGGTTTCCCTGGGGATGCCCAGACTCCTGCCAATCACACTGTCTATCCGGGAATCCTGAGGGTGCCTGGAGACCCAGGGCCAGGGAAGCTCCAAGAGGTGAACCCTGGACCACACAGGCGCAGGGCTTTTTCTGTCTTTCCACCTAAAAGGACCGCATCACAGATGTGCCTGTGTCTCATAAACTGCACCACGCTTGGGTGTTTCCGGCTGTCAGCTCTCCAATGCCAAACAGAAGTGTCCCACTGCCACCCCTAGAGCCCTAGGAATGAAGCACACACTGCTCACCTGACATCTGCTTCTAGGGGAGGTGCATAGTCTGAGCTCTACTGGCAAGAGTTGTGTGACCCCAGGGAAGTCACTTAACCTCTCTGAGCTGGCTCTCTCATCTGGAAAGCTGGCATAACACCCTATCTTCTCCACGATGCTGTGAGGAATGAAAATACAGGTCTGCTGTGCCTGTTTCAGCACTAAAGGCACTTAGGATGCAGGGTGCCGTGGCACACATTTTTATCCCAGCACTCGGGAGGCAGAGGCAGGCGGATCTTGGGAGTCCAAGACAAGCCTGGTCTACACAGTGAGTTACAGGACAGTCAAGACTACACAGAGAAACCCTGTTTCCAAAAAAAAAAAAAGACACTTGAGAAACAAGACCTAACAGTGAGTGAGCATGTCGGCAGTTACAGGGAGGTTTGCGAGCCATAGCCCTTGCTCCCTTGCTCCTAAAATAGACAAAGGTGAGTTTGCACCAGACTTCATACAAAGGCTGGGGCGCTCAGAGTAGGGTGTGCAGCGTGGCCTGAGGACAAGCTAGCTGGTTCCTGTCACTGCATCCACCTGTGCCCCCAAGAGCCAGAACAGGGGTTCAGACTCCAGTGCTTTCAGAACCAGAAGGAACTATGGGTGTTGATGCTGACTCGGCCAAAACCTTGCCCTAGGAAGGGGAGCGCTGGGGATCCCTGGCAGAGCTACTCTTGGGACCGTGGCCCAGTGTGGCCAGGGCATGTGCAGCCCTGGCTATCCTGGAACTCAGATCTGCGTGCCTGTCTCTGCCTCACAGCCCCCATGCCTCGCTGTGTTGATATTTAAAGTGCAAGCTGGCCAAAGCCGTTATGCCGGCTTGTGCACATCGTAGCTGGGGCTTGTACGTTGAGGTGCAGGGATAGTCCTTAGACTGGCTCTCCAAACACCTCACAGGGCCAGGTCTCTCCAGGTCACACTCCACCCCAGTCTTAGCAGAAGGAAAGCCCTGCTACCTACTTCCTGTGACTCAAGGACAGAGGACCTTATCCCTCAGAGTACAGCCTGCATCTTCCCAGGCATCCATGTGAATAGAGGGAGGGCCATGTCTCTTTAATAATCTAGGGACAGAACTTAAAACACATTGACAAATCTTCATGGATCCTCCCAGGACCCATTTCTGCCATGCTGGCCAAGGCCTGGACTACAACGGCTGATGAAGGTAAGGAGGGTGACTGCTGGGAGTCAGGGACATGGTGTTGGGGACTGTGGGTACCACAGGACAGGGGGTTTGGAAGCAAGTCTTCACAGAGGGATGTAGAGTTTTCATTGGCTTTTCCTGCTTTCTATGACTTCTATGGCCCCTCCTCTGGACACATCATTCTAGGAGAGCAACAGGGGGGCAATGACGAAGGCACGGGAAGTCAGGAGGCCCCAGGGGAGTGAGGTGTCTGCTGCACAGGTCACAGCCTGATACGGTAACGAATGGGCACGTCCTCTTCTGGCTGCATCAGGCCAAAGCCGTATCTGCTGAGGTCAAACTCAGGGACCTCTGTGTCCTCGCTGCCCAGCTCCAGGTCAAAGTGAGTCAGCAGGAGAACCACAAATCTGCAGGGAGAAAGAAAGGGTGCTTCAGTCTGCGTGCTGCTCTGGGCTTGGTAGAGCCCGGGAAGGTGAGGACAGCTCAGAGCCGAGTGGGGCTGAGTGGCTGTGTCTGTGGCAGTCATCTCCTCATCGTGTATGAGCCAGAGTGTGGTTCCCCTGCTCTCCTGCCTGAGGGAGGGCCCCGGCCACGAGTCTCTAACCCTACACCCACAGCCACCTGGAGAACCCTAAGTCCCAGGTGCATCACAGTGCTCATGGCGACAAGACTGTCTCTTCCAGCCTCTGAGCAAGCCTGTACCCCCTTTTCCTAAGCTTAAAACTCTTATAGTTAGCCTTGGTCTGTAAAATTAAAACCTGCACCACTCCCTCAAGACTTCTTATATGTGACGCAACTGTCACCAAGGGCCATCTTTGCAAGGCAGCACTGTCTACCGCCACCTACTGGAGACACATAAAGCTGTCATGTCTGGGATGCCATCATTGCCTCAAAGACACAATGACGGGCTCTGCCTTATGACTCACTGCTGTCCATGTGATCCTAATGTCCCATGCCTCATCACTGTCCCCCACCTCAATTCAGGGGCCTGAAACCACGATGCGCACACAGCAAGGACTTTCTCCTCTCACTGAAAGAGGAGCAGGTAAATGGATAAGCTGAGGGAAAGTGGCCCACAAGACTTAAGGGGAAGCGACCCTCACCAGGGTCCCGCTTCGGGCTTGGTTCTCCTGTGAGGTCAAAGGGAGTAAAGACAAGCTGACTCTCCCAGCTCTGGAGGGAGAGTTTCTCTGAGATAAGTTTTACTACCTGTATCCCCAGTGGGTGGAGCTGTCACAACCACCACTGGCTGAGAGCTTCCTATCAGGGGATCACAATGACGGTGGTCACAACAAATTCACTCATTTTTTGAGACGCCATGATCCCGGTGCCATGCTAAACACCTAGAGCCCTCTTTTGTCTGCCTAAACCGGATGAAGCAGGAACTGCAAGGTTCTATCATAGTTATTGATTTGAATGAGACAATCTGTCCTGGTGTGATTGATACATTAGGGCACAAATATGAGCAGAAAGCAAACCTCAATTGGCTCTCTTGCTGTCTCATGTTTCAGATGCAGGGGTGAATGCCGAGCCTACAGTAGCTGAGCATGCACGCATGAAGATCCGCTGACCGCCCTGTTCATCAGACTTTGTGCCTTTTAAAAAAAGCTTTGTTTTTTATTATGTGTGTGTATGGTCAGGGAGGGATATGTGCACATGAATGCAGTACCCAAAGGGGCCAGAAGAGGGCACCAGATCCCCTGGAGCAAGAGTTACAGGCAGTTGTGAGCTGTCCAAATAGAGTGTTGGGAACCAAACTCGGGTCCTGTGCAGTAACTTAATACTGAGCCAGCTCTCTACCTCTTGTACATTCTGTAAGCACGTGTAAAGCTGCATGACCACCTAGCATTTGGCAACAATCTTCCTCGTGTGTCACTGATGACATATTCAATGTGAGGCTTCAGATTCCCTTTGCCTATAACCTATGGTTTCATTTTTTGAGGTTCACTCTGTTTTGTGATGCTGATGCTGATGCTCAGGACTCGTGCGTGCTAGGCAAGAGCCCCACATCGAGATCCAGCCTCAACTCTCTCGTTATTCTTAATTTGGAGATAAGAGCTCACGAAGTGGCCGAAGCAGGCTCTGAACTCACCATCCTCCTGCCTTAGCCTGCCCCATAGCTGGCATGATTGGCCTGTGTGCCCAAGCCCGATACCTGCTGTTTCTACTTTCTGATTATGCATGACAAGGTGGTTTTGGGGAAGGTATAGCAAGCATCAGGGCAGAACCGACTCTGTCATTATTTCCACTTTACTGTTGAGAAAAGTGAGATCAAAAGGCTAATGTGACTTGCTGTCCCCTGGCACGGTGCCTGCATGCTAATCACGTGACTAATACAGACTCTGGCTAACATCTCTCAGAGCCTGGGATGAGTCAGGTGATGGAATGGGCACTTAGGAAGCTCCATTCTAACCCATTTTGGAGCTGAAATAAGTACCCACATTTTATAGCTGGGGAGACAGGCTCAGGTTACAGGAGCTGTGTAGAACCATGGCAGAGAGCACAGCCCCTGACCCGGGCAGTCTGTGATCCTGGAAACTGAGGCTCGGGGAATCCCAGGAGGAGAACATAGGAGCTTCTTTAATCTCTCAGGAGTTACAACAGCCAAGGGGGGACCCTGAAGTTCAGCCAGGTTCTGCCACAGAGGTCTGAACCTGCTTTGGCAGCCCCAGATGGACAGCCACGGCCAGCTGGACTCAGCAGCCAGCGTTTGGTGTTCCCACGCCACCCTCAGAGGGAGAACCCTGCTGCCAGATCTGATCATTGTGTAAGAAATCAGAGATGTGAACTTTTTTTGGGGCGGAGAATGCTTCTGATTTTTAAAAGAGCCCACATTTTAAAAACACAAACAGATTAGCGGACAAGAGTTGACTCTCTGCCAGTTTGGGATCTAATCCTATAACCATTAGCCTGAGGCCATTAGTCAAAGCCACAGAGGCATCAGGTGTCACCGCACCTTGGTTACCTCCTGGGCCACATCCAAGCTCTGCCCTGGTCACACCCCACCAATGGGCTCCTTCCCTGCTGGGCCATGCACTGCTGCCTCCACACCCTGCCACCCCCATGCCCTGCCACCCGCTCACTGTTTGATGCTGTTGATGGCATAGTTCTTCCCCAGGCACTGATTGTGCCCTGCTCCCCACGGCATGTTGTAATTCTTCAGTCGTTTCCCATCTTTGTAAAAATCTTTCTTCTCCGACCCGTCGGGGTTCAAGAATCGGTTGTATTTAAATACCTGAAACAAGAAGGTGATGTCACCCCACATAAGCCTGCACCAGGACGAAGGATTGGGGAGCTCGTGCAGACTTGTCACAACTGAGCATGATGGGAAGTGACTGGACAGGGGCTGGCTTTAAGGACCGTAGAGATGACAATTCCCAGGCGGCAGAGGGAGTGAAGATCACAGCAGGCTGCCACGCCCAGGATGGCTGATGACCCAGTCTCTCGCTTCCCCCACTCCCACAGTCCCTGAGATGTCCAACTCTGCCCCTGCTACTGACCTCAGGCTCCGTGTAGATTTCCGGGTCCTTTTGGGGACTCAGGAAAGGAAAGAGAAGGAGGCGGTCACCGCGTCGAAGAGAGAATTCCCTCCCATCTGCCATAGGCAAGGCCAGGTCTGCCATGACCTCGCGAGTGATGAAGGGGGCAGCCGTGAGCCGGAGGGTCTCATTTAGCACGCTGTCTGCAAGCGCGAGGCAGGAAGGGTTAGCAAGCTGCCCTCTGGCCCGCTGGACAAACAGAGCAACGGGCAGAGGGTTCACCTTGCACAGTCACACAGCAAGGTGGGAAAAGCCAGGTGACCAAGTGTGCACTCTGTGGTCCCTGAGAAACCTTGGATGTGAGGGGCCATGGGAGAGTGGGAGCCACAGGGCTATCTGACACCTGTGGGGGAGAGTTTAGAGCCTCAGTGTCTGCTTCTACCTGCAGTGTACATTCTCTTGTGGAAACAGTCCCCTGACCTTCATCTAGGGACCATACCCCTGTTTCCAGAAATTGGGCAGTTGTTCTACTACTATTATTATTATTATTATGTTTACAGTGTTCTGTCTGCATATATTCCTGCTGGCCATTATAGATGGTTGTGAGCCACCATGTGGTTGCTGGGAATTGAACTCAGGACCTCTGGAAGAGCAGTCAGTGCTCTTAACCTCTGAGTCATCTCTCCAACCCAATTGACCTACTCTTAGCTGGTAGGTTTAAGTTTTCATTGGCCAATTGGCCTACCTCTCTGGGCCCCATGTTTGGTTCTGGGTGGGCATATAACCCGAAAGGCCGATGAACACATTCCTGGGATTTAAGATGGGAATGCTGGATGAGAGGCTCCGCCTCCAGTTGCTGGCAGCCGGCCAGCCTCCATAGTCCAAGGGCACCCCAGTAGAAAATGGGGCTGAAGGAGGAAGAGCAACATTGTTCAAGCCCCTGGCTTCACCTGAGCCTGAAGCTATAGAGCTCAAGGCTCTCAGTTGCGTGACTCGGATTGAACCTCTTTTTCATCACAGCTCCTTCTGGTTCTCTGTCACTTAACACCACAAATCTCTTGAGGCCAGGAGGAGCTTTGGGTAGTGATACTGGGCATGGAGGACACTGAGGGACCCTTGGAGGTACCCAGGTTAGCAGGCTTGATAATCCTACCTAGCACAGGCAGGCTGTCGAGAACCTTCTGTGGGAGGGTGCTCATCTCCGAAACAGGCTGCTCCGCTTGCCAGACAATGCGCTTCAGCTCCTCACGGACCGCCTCAAGGGCCTCAGGATTCTTGAGGAGGTAGAGAAGGAGCCAGAAGGCCGCGGGACCCATATTCCCCTGCAACAAGGAGAAGCCTGTCACTCACCAAATGACCACAAGGGCTCCTTGAACAAAGCCATGGTGCAGCGCTCAGCATGCCCGGTTCCCACACTGGCCCATCAACAGTCAGTCACTTCAGCCCCAGACTGCAGCCAAATACGCTTGGAGTTTTGTTTGGTTGAGACTGGTACTGACTTGAAGAACACACCTGCCAGCCTGACCTCGAGGGAAGCCCTCGGTCTGCGGTCACTTGGGGAAGCCTCCTTCAGCAGAACAAATTGCACGGCAAGAACACTAAGAATGTTTGGGGGTGACTTCACTTGGGGCTTGCCATGTTCCTCGATAGTTTGCACAGAAGAGGCATCTCCCTGCCCTTGAACTTGAGCTCAGCCATGAACTTGCTTTGACTAACAAGTAGCATAAAGTGGAAGTAATGGATAGTAGATCTAAGCCCTGGCCTTCAGAGACCATGTTTGTGTCCCCTCCCTTTGACTGAGCCTTTGGATCCAGGATAAAGGCACACAGGGCACAGCTACATTGCCCCAGCTGGGCCAGTCTAGACCAGTCAGATCCACAGACCTGTGAGCTCACGTCTATCAGCACAGGCTGCCGGGTTTAACCAGCTGATAACAATAGCTATTCATAGTTTAGAAGACGAAATTTCCTTCCATGCTCCTTCTGTTCTGGTTAATCTCCCAAAGGAAGAGCAGAAGGGCAGTTAAAGGCCGTTAGCTTCTTAACAAAACCTTCCTAAAGAGAAACTAGGGAAATCAATGCCACGGTGTGCTCCAAACCAGAGCGGACCTGCCTAAACCTCTTCACCCAGCTCCTCGGCACCTCCCAATGACGCAGATATAGATCCCGAGCAACCTCAAGCTGCAGGGAGGTTTTCTCTGCCCTAAATGCGGCTGTAGTCAGAGACCCAAGCAGCCCCTTTAGACATCATCATTCCCAATAAGGTCTTGCAAACATAACTGCACCAGGCAGAGGATACGAGTTGCAGCCCTAACTCAGCACTCCCAAATCGGAAATAAGCTGACACCAGTGGGAATGATGGCCTACCATGTGGTAAGTTGTTTTAAAAAACAACAAACCACCACCACCACCAACAACAACAACAAAATCCCCGTTCCTTTAGGTCTGAAAGACACACAGGAGCAGGCAGGCTCCAAGCAGGGCTCGTCTGAGCCACTGTGTGTGTCTGAAGAGGGGCCATGCGAGGGCACAGACCGTCTTTAGGAGACGCAGGACCCCTCCCTGAGGTCACCTGTGGGACAGAGGCTGGGGGCTGGGAGGGTGAAGTGGCTGATTGACTTTCTGTTTGTGGGGCGGTCCACGTGCAGGTGTGTTCACATGTGGAGGCCAGAGGGCAACCTCTGCTGCAGGTCCTCGGGTGTTGCCCGCCTTGTCTTAAGACAGGCTGTCTCAGTAGGCTAGGCCAGCTAGTGAGCTTCAGGGATGTGGCTGTCTCGTCACCCCAGTGCTGTGACCACAGATGTGAGCCTTCACGCCTGGCGTATTTTCCTTTGTAACATGGGTTCTGGGACTGTCACCTGGGTCTTTATGTTTGCAGGGCGAGCCTGTTACAAATGGAGTCATCTCCCCGCCATGCCCCCAGCCCCAGATTTTCTTCGCATACACGTATCTGCTCAACCTGCTTGAATTTCTTTTATTGTTGTTTTAATCTTCTTTTATTTTTTGAACTTAAACTATAATGACATCATTTTTTCCCTTCTCTTTCCTCCCTCAAACCTGCCTTCTCGTACACTTCTTGCTCTCTGTTAAATATATGGCCTTTTTTTTTTCTTTTACATTTCTTTTTAAAGACAGAGTCTCTCTACATAGCCCTGGCTAACTTAGAACTTAGTATGTAGACCAGGCTGGCGTTAAACCCATAGATGCACCTGCCTCTCCCCTCAGAGTGCTGGCATTAAAGGTGTGAATTCACACCTGGCCCCAGTTGAATTTTCTATTAGACGTACTGCTTCTAATGGATGCACTGTGGTATGTGTCCTGCACGGTTTATGGTGGTCTGCCATGTTGTGAGGGTTGTCCACGTTAGGATGTGAAATCAAATAGAAAACTGGAGAGAGACAGGTGCATGGCTTTAGCAGGCTTCTGCCAACTGCACAGTGTGTGTGTGTGTATACACATATGTGCACCCTGGCTTTCTCCCATGGGGTCTAGCCTCTGTGAGCTTATGAAGGGCTTTCTGGTCTAACCTTATCTTGTGGTCAGGCTGAAGGCGGAGGCAGTGGTGAAACAGGAGGAGGATGTGGAAAGGAGGCTGGGCTGAGGGGGTGATGCCAATCAGTTTCCTATCACCAGGATCCCCAGAGTGGTGGTTGCCTGAGGTTGGAGCCAGCCTGTGCCAGCTCCAGACACCACCCCCAACCCAGCCCAGCCTGGACCTTAGATCTCCGTTTTCAGGAGCTGCCTCCTCCCAGGCCTTGGGATGCTGGGCTGTGTGCTACCTCCCCCAGCAGTCTCCTCCTGGCCTTGGGGCCCCAGTTTCACCCAGCTTTGAGAGGATCCGGATGATGTCTGCAGCATGTTCAATGCGACGGTCGGCCCACAGGACAGCTCAGACTCACAGTCTCCGATCCGCAATAGCCTCCGCAGCTACGGTTCCTCCACCTCAGCAGATTCCTCGGGCTCCTCACCCTCCCTCTCAAACAGCTATTTGTACGGGTATCCCCACCTCCTCAGCCCCGCCCCCATGCCTCCTTGGCTGGCTCCCTGACTTTCCCACCCTTCCATCTGAAGAGCCCTTGGGTTGGGACCCTGCTTCTTTCCCCTTATCCCCAGTGCCACCTGTCCACCTCTGGGTCCTACATGTCTGTCTTGGGCCCTACATCCTAACCCTGAGCATCTAGACCAGCCGCATCTCATGTGACCAAACCCCAAGCCTCTGACTTGATTGCTCCCCCCACCATCTTCCCTGGCCATTAACAGTCCTTTCTCCCTCCTGGGCTCAGACCCAAACTCGACTGGATGCTTACTGATCCTGGCTCCCAGGGTTGCACCTACCACGGGGAACCTCAGAGCCCGCCACCTCTCCCCTGCTCTCCACTCCACTTTCTCTGACCTAGAGACTGTGGTCCCCGGCTTCCTCTTCCCCTCTAAAGCCCAACAGGCCACAATCTGCTGCTACACAGTCTTTAGGTGACCCACTTCGCCTGGAATAAAGCTCCCTCATACCCACGAGGTCTGGAGGGGCTCTGTGACACCTGCTGCCTCTCCACGACCTTTGCGCCTACTCTCTCTGCCTGAAACTCTCATCCCAGAGACCTCCACGGTGGCTCACGCCAAACCTCTGCTCAGATGCCACCTGCCCACTGAGGTCTCTCTAGTGACCTCGCTGACTCCTCCATCCATTGACTGTGCTCTTCCCTGCCAGAGGCTTGCTCCACAGATGAGAACTTTCACCTGCCCTTCCCACCACTCCATACGCAGTTTCTAGAATGAGGCCACGCATGTGTGAAGCCTGATGCATTTCTGTTGCCAATGTTTTGTTTGGTTGGCTTTGGAAACAAGGTCTCATGTATCCCAGGCTAGCCTGAAACTCACTGTGTAGAAGAGGGTGACCCTGAGCTTCTAATCCTCCTGTCTACAGCTCCCAAGTACCAAGTGCACAGGGGTACACTCTAGGCCCATTTTTACAGATCTCTGTGGAAATACCTGATAAGCCTTTGCCACTGCTGGGGTGGATCTAAAAGCTCCCTTCACTGTCACAGCTAACCCTGAGGAAGGGGCTGCAGAGTTATTGTACTGATGGGTAAACCGAGGCACTGCAGGGTGCGGTGACTGACTTGCTAGAAAGGGAAAGCCATACCCAGGCCCCACAGCTGGCGTTCAGACTGTTGGACAATACAGCCTCCTGCCCTGCTGTCCCGATTCAGAATCCTTTGGACCCCTCTGCTGGGAAGACCTGTCCCTACTCTTAGCCCTGCCGGAGGCCACTCCCTGGGATCTGGCTCTCGAGTGCCTGGCCAACTTCCTACTCTGTGGGCGGAGGTCATTTCCACGGGGGCTCTGAGGACACTTTGGAGCACCCTGTCCTTCTAGCCCATAAATATGTTATCAGGCCTGCATAGGGCCAACTGCTGATTAAGCCCTGGCCGGCCCCCGCCAGCCTTCGCCTGCAGGACAGTTAATAGCTCTGAGGACAACTAAAAATAAGTTGCCGGTCGATGGAGAGGAACCACCCAGGGACATCAGCCTGTCCGACAGTCACTGCCAAGTGGGGCCTAGAGAAGGTAAGGGGCTGGGCGGGGTGAGAGCAGAGACCAGGCCTCAGACTCACTGCGTTCAAGAGACTACGCCTTTCTCAAACGTTAGCCTTTGCTGCAGGGTCCTACGTCACTGACTGCAGTCTTGGTTCCTGCATCTGTCTGACTCTCCTGCTGTGTGATGTTTCCATTGCATTCTGACAAATAAAGCTTGCTTGGAGTCAGAGGGCAGAGCCAGCCACTAGCTGACCATAGAGGTTTGGAGGACTATAGAGAGAGGTCAGGAAGCGGTAAGGCGGGGCTGAGACAGGATCTTGGTCTTTTGGATAAAGGAACGGGAGAGGTGGGAAGGGCCTGTGGCTACACAGGAAGTTTGAGGCAAGCCTGGGCTACATGAAACCCACTTTTCTATCAGTCTGCCATTTTTCCATATGTTACCTATCATACGGACTGCCTGGTTACAAAGCTGCTGGACAGGACAAAGTCGCCAGCAGGCTGTGTGCTTACACCCTCGTGTGCTCACACCACCAGACGCATGTGAATTCCACACCTATACACCCATATACCCACCTGTGTGGCCCAGAGCTGCAGCACCAGGGCCCGGGCCTGCATTTCCTCCGACACCCCCATCTCTTCCAAATGCCTCACATAACTCTGCAGCCAGCTGCTCCGGTCAACCCTGGTGGCTAGCTGGGCTGGGGACAGCAGCTTCCACAGGCGGCCTTTGACACTGCATGCATGGTCTTTATCCCCTGCAGGGACAGAACACAGAAGAGGAAGGTTTTAGAGTCACCTGTAGGACAGGGCCACCCAGCCTCAGCTTTTCACAAAGTTGCACACTTGATACTCTGGGTGTCACTGGTGGGAAGGCTTGGGGTGAAGCCTTGTGAGACACCTTGTTTAGGACCCATGGTGCTTAGGAAAGGCATAAGGGCCTGTCCCTGCAAGAGAGAACTCTCCGTAGCAAGAAATCAATCGAGATTTAACAAATGTGTGGGGATCTCGGGGCCGCATAAGAGGATCACACTCTAGGCAACAGCCTCCCTCCCTGGCAAGATCAGGGCCTCAGCATACCAGAAAGAGCCGCACTGGCCATTGGTGGGGACACAGACCTGGGCTTTCCACTCAACTTCCTCTAGAGCAGACAGGTAAGGTCAGCAAAGGAAGAGACCCCAAGGAAGCCATGTAGACCTGAAGAAAGGGGAGACCTCTTGGTCGCTGCAACCCACCCCCCAGCATGGTGGAGCAAGTGGCTCCACCCAGGAAGACTCGGTGTTTTCTAAAGAAGCCAATGACCCAGGTGTTGTGGAAACACATGTGTCTCTCTCTCTCTGTCTGTCTACTGTTCCTGCTGCTGGGGATGGAACTCGGGCCCTTGCGTATCTGAGTTGCACCCTGGCCTCCTTGCATTTGTGACAGTGGCACTGAAGTCAGCACAGGCCGTAAAAGTATCTCAGACTATCTGAAGGTCAGCTTTGCTTCAAGGACACCAGCCTGGACGTGAAGCAGGGATAGGAGAGAACCTCTGTCTACACAGGTGGTCCACCAGGGAGGGCAGTGTGTTTGAAACCAAGCCAGGCACCGAGGGTCTGTGTGGAACAACACCGCTGGCTTGCAGTCTGTGAGCTACCAGGCAAGGCTGGGTTGTTGACATGAATGCTGTACAGTGTCCCATCTATTACATCCCTCAGTGACACCACAGTGGTTGCCCATCTGGACCAGGGGACATGCCGGGCAATGCTTTTTGGGGAACTAGTCTCATCTTTACACCCCATCTCAGAGCATACACACAAACATGATGTTCACTGGTCTCCAAAGTTATCCCAGGGAAGCTGGGCACCTCCTGGGGCTGCTGGAAGCTCTCTCACTGTGTGCCAGGTGCAGATCTGGCAGCCTCAAATCCCAGGAGTTTGTGAGGATGGAACACATGGCTAAGCATAGGCTTATGAGTGTGCATGTGTTGAGGGTGCGTGCATAGGCTTCCTAGTATGCACATGTTGAGGGTGTATGCATTGGGTTACAAGTGTGCACGTGTTGAGGAGGGCATATGTGTATAGGTTTTCTAGTGTTGGGGGAGCATGCGTGCAAAGGCTTTCTAGTGTGCATGTGTTGAGGGAGGCATGCATGCAAAGGCTTCCTAGTGTGCACATATCGAGGGTGCATGCATAGGCTCACTATGCATGTATTGAGTGGGCATGCATAGACTTACTAGTGTACATGTGTTGAGGGTGCATGCATAGGGTTACAAGTGTGCACATGTCAAGGAGGGCATGTGTGCATAGGCTTACTGTGTGCACATGTTGAAAGGGACATGCATGCATGTGTATATGGAAGTTAAAGCTCAGTATTGGTCCCTCTCCACCTCCTTTCAGAGGCACTGTATCTGTCACTGAAGCCGAGCTTGCAGATGTGGTATACTGGCTGGCCAGCAAGTCCCGGGGATCCCACTGGAAAAGCTGTCAACCCAGTGCTGCCGTAGCCCGCTTTTATGTGGGCTCTGGGATCGGAACTCAGGTCCTCATGTCTGTGTGGTCAGCACTCTGCAGACTGAGCCATCTTCCAGCCTGGCCTTACTGTTTTTAAAGTCGGTTGGCAATTGTTTCAGACAATGGGTTCAGCTTCTTTATACCATTTTGGGCGGTGCAACAGTCCAGATTTAAACAGTGAGACCATGCGCTCATCTGAAGCACATAGCTTTCCAGCATCTCCCACTGCGCTGGGTTCTTGAGTGCTCCCAATGTCCTGGGAGCCCAGGCTCCTGCCAGGCTGACTGTGTGAATCCCCAGGTGAGATCAACATAGGGAGGATTTTGCAAAGGGCCGTCTGACCAGATAGCCAGAAAAGAGGCAAAGAGCTCAACACAAACACAGAAATGTCTGCTGCCCCCGAGGACCAACCTGACACTTTCAGTCCCTCGTGTAGTCTGTGGCTTTGTGTGTGCGTGCGTGTGCACATGTGTAGGCGGGCACACTCACATCTGTGTGCATGTGGAGACCAGAGATCGATGTTGGGAGCCTCCCTCTAGATCAGTGTTCTCAACCTTCCTAATGCCCCAGCCCTTTAATACAGTGCTGTGCTCACCCCCAACCGTAAAACTGCTGGTCGCTACTTCATAACTGTAATTTTGCTACTGCTATGAATTGTAATGTAAATATCTCTGTTTTCCAATAGTCTTAGGCAATGCCTGTGAAAGCGTTATTTGACCCAAAGGGGTCACGACCCACAGGTTGAGAACCATTTCTCTACTGCTCTCCACCTTACTTTTTGAGACAGGGTTTCTCGCTGAACCTCCAACTTGTCTTTTTAGCCACACCTCACTGGCACATCTGGATCGAGGTGAAAAGTTCACCAGCTGTCATGGGTTTCATCCCCTTCTATTTCACAGATTTGGGGTCTGCTATCATATGATGCCTTATGTATTTAATCAGCCCCTACTCTGGTCCGGCTGATTTCTAGCTCCTGCTGTCAAAGGCAACATGGCCATGAGTATCTTTCTTTGTACCATGTGTGTGTATTTCTGGAGGATTACTTCCTGGGAGAGGGAGCACAGGAGAAAAAAAATCTACATTTGATATTTTGGTGGACTTTGCCCAGTTGGTCTCCAGTGAACGCGCGCGCCACTCAAAAGGTCCGTGAAATACTTGTTTTCACCCGAGGGCAACTGTCCAACACTGCCACCTGCTGCTCACACTAGGAAGTGCAGCCATGAAAGGCTAGGCTCCCATGGAAGAACGGACAATGAAGAAATGCTAACATTTTCTGTAGAAGCAACTGGTGCCGGGATGGGACACATGTTTAACACACTGTATTTTCCGACAAGACAAAGTGCGCATGCTACCTACTCTGCCACCTACCTGCTGCATCTATGACAAGTGATGTCACCCATGTGAGCCTCAGTCTTTCTGTCTGCAAAGGGGGTTCTGTGACATCAGCCCCAGGGACCGCGTTAGAACATGAACATTCTCTATAAAGACGATTGTGTGGACGGCTCACAGAAAAGGCACGCGGAAGCCAGAGAAGCAGCACGATGCCTCAGCACGGCAGGTGGGGAGGTGAGCAGGACGCCAGTGCCCTTCCTGCCCTCCAGATTGGCAAGAACTTAAAGACTGATGGCTGCGTTCTGATAAAACTGTGAGGATATGCAAGTGGCAGCATCTACCCAGCAGACGGGCAAACCAACAGAAAGACAGGCCCTAGGCCTTATCTTCTGGGCAAGTGTTTAAATTGCTCCATGGCTGTGGGCACCTGTAATCCTAGCTCTTGGGAGGCTGAGGTAGGAGGATCCTAAATTTAAGACCAGCCTGCTCTGTAGAGTGACCTGGTTTAAAAAAAAAAAATCAAAATGAAGCAGAAAGAAAACATATTTTTAAAAAAATACAAAGATGTGCTGAGTGGTGGTGGTGCACACCTTTAATCCCAGCACTTGGGAGGCAGAGGCAAGCGGATCTCTGTGAGTTCAAGGCTAGCCTGGTCTACAGAGTGAGTTCTAGGACAGCCAGGGCTATTCAGAGAAACATGTCTAGAAAAAACACAAACAAACAAACATAAGATGTATCTCAGATGTGACCACACTCAGCCTGGTTGATGATCAGAACAAAAGATCTCAGCAAGTGATGCTGCTACAACCTCAGCCAACCCTAACTGCCACCTTCTCAGATGGTGCCACCCTCCCCATCTGACACATTGAGATCACAGAGACATGGGGAGGTGAAGTCCAGAGTCTGTCTCCTCCCCTCCTTTCTGCTGTGCTACACCACCACAGCAGGGGACAGAGAGAAGTGGCTGGCTCAAAGCCACTAGCAGAGGAGAGATTCTGGAAGACATGGCTCTTCCGAGCCTCCTCGTGGCTCCCATCAAATGTGCACTTGGCTTGGTCTCCTTGAGATCTCTGAATCCAAATGGACCACCATGGTGTGCTGTGGGACAATGGTTTTACCCTGTAAAGATTTGTTTTTTGTACTTGTTTAGTAAAATGCTGATTGGCCAGTAGCCAGGTAGAAAGTATAGGTGGTGCAACCAGGCAGGAAGCAGAGACGGGACAAGAACAGGAGAATCCTGGGAAGAGGAAAGGCTCAGTCTGCAGTCGTCACCCAGACGCAGAGGAAGCAAGATGAGAATGCCTCGTTGATGAAAGGTACCAAGCCATGTGGGTAACATAGACAAGAATAATGGGCTAATTTACAATGTAAGAATTAATTAATAAGAAGCCTGAGCTACTAGGCCAACCAGTTTATAATGAATGTAGACCTCTGTTTCTTTGGGACTGAATGGTTGCAGGACCAGGCGGGACAGAAACCTCTGTCAACAATGGTCGGATATGAAATGTGTCTCCAACACGCTCATGTGCTGAAGGTTTGGTCCCCAGCTGGTGGCATTAAGGAGAGAGCGCTGGACTGTGGGGACACTGGCCTGATGGATGGGTTAATGCCCGACGAAGTTCCCAGCTAGAAAGGGCCAGTGGGAGCGGGGACCTGGAGGCAGCAGGTCATAGGATGTGCCTTTAAAGGGGGTGCCTTTTTCCCCAGACCCTTCTTCCTCCTCCAGCTTTCCCCACTTCCTGGCTGCCATGAGGCAATGCTGCTGCCCCCATCATGTTCAGCCACACCTCAGGCCAACAACAATGGAGCCATGTGGCTGTGGATTGAAACCTTAGGAAACCAGGAGCCAAAATACACCCTTCCAGCTTTAAGATGTTTTCCTTAGATACTTCATCACAGCTTCTTTTATAGTAACTAATTAATTAGTTAATTGTTTTAATTTTTGGCTGTTTGAGGCAGGGTCTGACTATGCAGCCTCGTCTGTCCTAGACCTTGCTCCGTAGACCAGGCTGGCCTCGAACTCACAGAGAACTTCTTGCCTCTGTCTCCCAAGTGCTGGGACTAAAGGCATGTACCACCATGCCTGGCTCTTGTTGCTTCTTGAGGGAAATACCATCCAGTCTTTGCATGAAATCTGTAGCGGTTTGAAAGAAAATGGCCCCCAAAGTGAGTGGCACTATTAGGAGGTGTGGCCTTGTTGGAGTGGGTGTGGTCTTGTTGGAGGAAGTGTGTCACTGTGGAGGCGGGCTAGAGGTGTTCAAGTCATACCCAGTAATACAGACCACTTCCTGTTACCTGTGAGTCAAGATGGAATACTCAGCTACTTCTCTAGCACTGTGTCTGCCTTCAGGCTGCCATGACACACCATGATGATAATGGATCAAACCTCTGAAGATGTCAGTCACCCCAGCGTTTTTCCTTCACCAGAGTTGCTGTGGTCATGGTGACTCTTCACAGCAATGAAAACCCTGTGACATGGATCACTACCCATTTCTGATGTGACCTCACAGTGCTTACCCCCTGACAAGGAGCCTCGGGCCAGTTTGGGGAGCAGTAGATCCAGCTGGCGGAAAGTGTGAAAGACATCAGCTGAGTGGACACGATCCTGCGCTTGGCTCTCAGGGGTGCGGGGCGAGGCCTCCACTCCATACAGGGTCAGGTATCCGGCTCTGGGGATGATGGCAACAAGTCAGATTCCTATCTTTAGTTCCTACCTCAGGCTCCTGTCTTTAGTTCCTACCTCAGGCTCCTGTCTTTAGTTCCTGCCCTGCCTCAGGCTCCCGTCTTTAGTTCCTGCCTCAGGCTCCTGTCTTTAGTTCCTTCCCTGCTTCAGGTTCCTGTCTTCATAAAATAAGCCCTTTCTTCGCCAAGTTTCTTCTACTCAGAGTGTCTTTCCACAGCAACAGAATAAAGCAGACCACCACTCTACCTCTTGAACTCCCCCAGTCATGGGTCTCCCAGAAGAAGATCTTCCAAGCAGGAAGATGGGGGGAAACAGAATGAGGGAAGATGAGAATGAGAGAACCATGCCTAGTCCCCAACCTTCACTTCCCCCACACAGTGCATGCAGCAGTAGGCCTGCAGTGAGTGTTGGGTCAGTGGGGAGTGGTAGGTAGGCTGATGGAGGAATGAGTGAGTGGGTGGATGGACATGGATGTGTGGGGCTAATACACAGATGGGTGAGTGGATGGATGGATGGATGTGGATGGGTGGGCGGATACACAGATGGAGGAGTGGATAGATGGACGGGACTAGGTAGGAGGTGAAGGGGTGAGTGAAGGATGGATGTGGGTGGCCAGATGGGTGGATGGGTGGACGGGTGGCAGGATGGCTGGACAGATGGGTAGATAAATAGAGCACCCTGCTGAGCGCTGTGGTGACAGGCTATCACAGTCTGTCTGACAACAGCCATCCAGGTCACCAGCATTCCCTGTGTGCACTCCGCTTCTCTTCCCAGTCCAGCCTAGCGTCTGTCCCTGGGGACAAGTCCTCAGGGCAGGGGACCGGCACCTGCTCTTTCCTCTGGGCTAACAAGAAGCCTACTTCCCCCTAGGAACTTCTAGGAATCAGAGGTCAGCTCAACCTTCCCACACCTCAGCCTCACCCTGGAAGTTTCTTTTCGTCCCATTTCTTGAATAGCCTCTGGGTAGCTGGTGAAACAGCCCAGAATAGCTCACTAACGTAAGTGGATCAAGAAGGCCACTAGGTGGCGCCTGGTGCCGTAAACCGTCAGAGACTGTTCCGCTGAAGATCAGCTCTGCATCCTGAAGGACCGGCAGTGGGCACCGTGTAGGACAGTGCAGGCCTGCTCCCTGCGCAAATAGTGCACAGCAGGAGAAGGAAGGAGTGCCCCGCTGCGGGTGTGGCCGAGAGCGGTCACCTGTGACCCTGACGGGGACTCTAGTGAGTCCCCAGGTCTCAGTTTTCCATCTGGCAAGTGGGGTTTGTAAGTTACCACCTTGCAGAAAATGAAGCGAGTTTACCCATCCAGCCACCCAGACCTGATATCACCTGTGTGTGCCCGTGTGTCAACAAACAGCTGCCTTTTTATCAGAAGCACACATGCTGCTCTGAACTTCTGGGGATAATTAAAATATCTTTTTTTTTTTAATGGTGCTATCAACGATTGAGAGAGAAACAGTCTCTCAACCCTCCCCACCTTTTAAAAGCCTTCAGTGGACTGTGTCAACCACGTGTTCTTGTTCTCTCCCAAGTACAGGCTTCCACTGGGACCCACCTGGGAGACTACACACATCCCACTGGGTCCCTCTGTCTGGTTCTCACCTACAGATGTCCCCTACACAGGAGCATAAAGCGTATGAATGAGACTGCATCGGGCCCCTTTGTCAGTCCCTAAAGGACCACCACCGCCACCCGGCTGAATCTATTTTCCAAGATCTTCCTCCAGGTTGCGAGCCTGGCTTCTGCAGACCTCTCCACCTGGTCTCCCCTCTTCCACTTGTCCCCTTTGCTCTAGCCGCACTGGCCCCTTCACCCAGCCTCTTCCCACCCCAGGACCTTTGCATTCGCTGTTTCCTCGCCAGGGTCTTGGCACAGCAGGTGCTTCTCAGTCCCACGGTTAGAGCTCATCAGTGAGGCCGGAGACACCCCCAGACGTCCTATCTCGGGATCTATGCCTTCCCAGGCATAAGGAATGCATTTGCTCTGTCCCCTGCTTTGCCCCATGGGACCATTGAGGACCCAGCACAGCTGAAGGAGTTGCGCTTGGCTGTACTGTTTTCACTACAGTCATGAGGTCTGGCTTCCGGACAAGCTGAGCATCCTCTCTGTTAGCTTCTGAGAGCCAGAGTCTAGACCCCAGGCCAGATGCTCTGTGATGCCCGGCTCGGTGACTCCTGCTCCAGAGAACGCTGGGGGCCCTTGTGCAGCTAGCGTCTGCTTTGCTGCCCAAGTTGTTTGAGGTAAATTTTGGTTCCCACCTAAACCACCTCCCTACTACACTCTGCTCTGAGCTTCTCCCACGGTGCCCATGATGAGGTCGTGGGCTCACCTCAAGAGGGAGCTGTAGGAGAGATCGAGGAGGCCTGTCGCATGCCAGCCACTGGCCGCTTCTGTGGAGTCCCCCAGCAGCACCGTGCGGAGGTTGGTGTACATAGCTTCCGTGAGCGCCTGCAGGTCTCTGTGCATCAGCAGCCTGAGACCAGCAACACAAGTTAGCTACTCACCCTTACTGTACTCAGAAAAAAGACTGTGTGTGTTAAAATGATGGTCACCACCGAGACACTGTTTTTACGGTGGAGGAACTCAGGCATGCGGAACAGCATCAGGACAAGGCCACGCAGCCAGGGAGTGGTAAAACTGGGGCTAAACCCTAGTCGGCCCCACTCCACATTATGAGAGCTCTTGGCCAGGACAATCTGTCCTTGCCTGGTGTACAAACTCGGACAAGGGACCCATGGGCTTCCCACCGGCTTCTGGACATGGAGGGCCCAGGAAACTGGCTCCTCCCCTGGGAAATCCAGCAGAGGGCTGCTAATGGTCTCCTCATGTGGATCTGAGTGACACAGACTAGGGGGGCATGAGGCAAGAGTGAGGGGGGCCTGGGCCTCATTCATGCTGAGCAGAGCCTGGGGAGCGGCTATGCAAAGCCAAGGTGAGATGCCGGCTGTCTACATGTCAGGCTCCACCTAAGCCACAATTGGCAGCAACTGGCTGGAGTGTCCAGGGGACAGGGCTACCTGCGGAATCTATTGGTGGCAACAAGAACCAGCAGGTGTGGGCCAGACTGGGATTCCGGTTGCATTTGTTTTCTAACTGTCGCTCCTGGACAGTGGCTTCAGGGCTGTGCAACTAATCTTAGGTCAACTTGGCACAGGCTAGAGTTACCTGAGAGGAGGGACCTTCAGTTGAGAAAATAACCCCGTAATATTTGGCTGTAGGCAAACCTGCAGGACTTTTTCTTAGTTAGTGATTGATGGGGGAGGGCTCAGCCCATTGTGGGTGGTACCATCCCTGGATAGTGGGCCTGGGTCCTATAAGAAAACAGGCTGAGGGCTGGAGAGATGGCTCAGAGGTTAAGAGCATTGCCTGCTCTTCCAAAGGTCCTGAGTTCAATTCCCAGCAACCACATGGTGGCTCACAACCATCTGTAATAGGGTCTGGTGCCCTCTTCTGGCCTGCAGGTATGCACACAGACAGAATATTGTATACATAATAAACAAATAAATAAATATAAAAAAAAAAAAGAAAACAGGCTGAGCAAGTCCTATTGAGCAAACCAGTAAGTAGCACCCCCATGCCCTGATTGGGTTCCTGCCCTGACTTCCTTCAGTGACGGACTATGATGGTGTGGAAGTGGAAGCCAAATAAACCCTTTCCTCCCCAAGCTGCTTTGGTCATGATGTTTCGTCATGGCAGACAAGGCCAAGCACAACCCATCTGGAATGTAGGGTTGAAGCCCCAGCCCAGGCCCACCCACAAGCCCGTCTCTGCACTCACGGCTTCATCCTGGCCTTTTCCTCGCTGAGGTTGAAATTTGGAAGCTGCAGGTCAAAAATCCTCTCCATGAGGAAGATGGCATAGGGGTGGAAGTCCAGCCGCGTACGCGACTCCCATACCACTGCATCGTAGGAGTGTGGGTCCAGGAGAACGGTGACATACCTGCCTCCCACCAGCACCTGTTGGAGGAGTGTGGGGAGGAGTGATGGTGGACTCTGCATTCAGGCATCTGTGGGCAAGCACTGGCCCCACAGGCACCGGGCAGCAGTGTTCTTGCTTGTCCCACCAATCGTGTGAGCTAGGGACTGCCACTCACCTGTCTAGGCTGGGAGAAGGGACACTGTGCCTAAGATCTCCATGCTGAAAAGCAGCAGAGCTAAGACCAGCCAAAGCCTTCTAGAAGGAAAGGGTGTAGCCAGGACCATAGAGGCTGAGGCAGGAGAATCCCAAGTTCAAGGCCTGACTGGATTAGAGTGCATTCAAGGCCAACCCAGGTAATAGTAAGACCCTGTTTCCAAATGAAGAGGGAGAAAGGGGCTGGGGCATGAAGATGAAAAATGGTATGGGATTTCCTCATGTGCATGAGGTCCTGAGTTCAACTCCCGGTACCACACAAAGGGAATGGGTGAGTGGATGAATGGACATTGCTGGGTAAAATCCAGCAGACTAACTGTAGAAGAGCGGGTGGGTGGGTGGTGGATAAGTGAGTGGATGACTGGAAGGGTGGGTGGGTGGGTGAATGCATGGGTGGTTGGGTGGGTAGGTAGACGGGTGGGTGGGTGGATGCATGGGTAGGTGGATGGGTGGGTAGGTGGATGGGTGGGTAGACAGATGGGTGGGTGGGTAGGTGGGTAGATAGGAGGGTGGGTGGATGAAATACAAAAGTACTTGTGCAGAGAGGAGACCGAGTCAGGGGCTGAACGGGTAGATGGTGAGCACTGGGTGGGCTGTGGTCGGTGGAGAAAGAGGTGGGGAGATGAATAGAGGGAGGTCAGAGGAAACAGACCCTAGAGACGGAGGCTGGGTGGGGGTTGGTGAATGAGTGGAAGGATGCTGGGTGAATTTTGAGAGGTAGGCAGAGGCTGGAGAGCAGTTAGAGCCCTGGCTGGATTCCAGAGGACCTGAGTTCAGCTCCAGTACAAACATCTGTAACTCCTGCTCCAGGAGATCTTACACTTTCCTCTGGCCTTTGTAGCCACCCAAACAGATGTTATACACACACACACACACACACACACACACACACACACACACACACGGAGAGAGAGAGAGAGAGAGAGAGAGAGAGAGAGAGATACATTAATAAAAATTAATCTTAAAAACAATAGACTAGATAGATGATAGACAGACAGACAGACAGGTAAACAGATAGATAGATGAGAGCTGATAGACAAATTTGGTGAGTATACAGAAAGATGGATTAATGGATGGGGAAGTGTAATATTTAATCTTAATTCCCAACCTGATTGCATTGAGAAGCACCTTAAACACGGAAGCCCATCCCTGGGTGTGCCTGTGAGAGCAGTTATAGGCACCCTAGGGCCCAACACTCTGCTGATGACTGATACATGGTATGCACAGTTGGACAGAGGGACGGATAATCAGCCCCACCCCCGCGGGTGACAGATGCATGGGTCAGTGTGTGGGTGGATGTTGAAGGAGTCGATGACCCCAGTGATGAACCAGCCACTCACTCCTTTCCCCTAGTGACACTTACAGTAAATATGTCGCCATGCTTCTCCTTCATCCTGGTGAGGAAGCTGGCAGCATCTCTCCCAAACTCCAAGGCATGGCCCAGCCAGGGGATGTTGCCCAAGTCCAAGGGAGGCTCGCCGGGTCGCCTACAGAAACCACAGCACTTAGCCCCATGTGATAAGAGAGAACAGAGAGTAGAGGCCATGGAGAAGTCATAGGAGGCACTCAACAGACAGCTGGAGGCGTTCCAGCAGGAGGAACAGCAGGAGCAAAGGTCCTGGGGTTGTACGACGGGCTCAGAGAACAGTGTGGGAGCCTAAAGAATAAGGACAAGGGTGTGTAGCTGTAGCCAGAGCTGGAGAGACTCTGGGTGAGGCCCTATGGGCTTGTGGGTAGTCGGACTGTGGCTTAGTCTCCGAGTGAGGTGGGGTTCCTGGGAGGGTGTGTGCTGAGGACGACCAGTGCCATGAAGTTCTGGAGACCCATTGGCCTCTGGGTAGAGAATGGGCTCAAAGGTGCGGGTAGAGGCTGGGGGCTAGGCATAGGCAGCTCCCTGTGGGAGGAAGCTTCCAGCACCCAGCAGAAAAGCAGAGTTTTCTGAGCCAGTCTGGGCTTGGGTCATCTCACACTCCCTCAGCTGCCCACAGGAAGGGAGTAGTGCCAGTGACAGATTGGCAGGACGCAGGCTCCGCTTCGCTCCGCTCAGTGGTTCCAACCCTGAGAGCCCTCCACGGCAAGAGCCAGGCCATGGCCTGGGGGAAAGACAAGGATATAGGCTGTCTCCTTCCCACAAAGGCCTTATTTTGTACCCACTCTCTAGCGGCTGCAGGGCTTTTCCATTTTTAAGTTAAAAGAAAAATAAGAGTTTGCAAGTATGTGAAGGAACTGTAACATGCAGGGCGGTGATGGTGTGCACCTTTAATCCCAGCACTTGGGAGGCAGAGGCAGGCAGATCTCTGTGAGTTCGAGGCCAGCCTGGTCTACAGAGTGAGTTCCGGGACAGCCAAAGCTACACAGAAAAACCCCGTGTTGAAAAAACAAACGAATGAATGAATGAATGAATGAATGAATAAATAAGAAACTGGAATACACGGTGTCCACGGACACAGCTACTTTAGAAACCAGGCTGGCAGCTCCTTAACCTTTACGCATGCTACACAATGAAGCAATCTATCCCCGAGAAATAGAAGCATGCTCACAGGTAAGCAGGCATGCTGTTGCCGATGGTAGCATTGCTCATAACAGCTGGGGAGCAGAAACAGCTTTGTGTGAGCTCAACTGCACGTGGCGTGTCCCGTGCTACAGAATACCATTCAGCCTCGAAGAATGAATGAAGCAGTGCTGAGCCTTACAGGCACGGTGCAAAGTGGAAGCCAGACCCAGAGTCGGGAAATCCACTGGGCTAGGCGTAGATTACAGGGTGTCTGGGGAACAAGCATGGAGAATGGCTGCCGACAGATTCAAGGTTTCGGTTCAGCGAGAAAATGTTCTGGAATTAGGGGTGACGGCCGTCCAGCTTCGTGATGATACTAAAACCCTGAGTTACAGTTTTAAGTGTTGAATTTTATAATATGTGAGTTGTATCTCATTGAATAAAAAGTTCAGAACAATGACCAGGACAATGGAAGCCTGGATGGAAGAAGAAGGTGATGGAGGAGGATGTCCCCATGGCCAGAGGGTGAAAAGACTGTGGGAGGAGGGAAGAAGAAGCTGCAGGGAGAGGGAATGGTGAGTGCAAAGGTCCTGGGGTGGAAGTGTGCGGGATGGGGCTTTCTAGAGTGGTGTGGCCCAAGTGGACAATGTACAGACGTTAGGTAAGTAAGGGTGTTAGAGATGACTTTGAAGACCTTGAGGGCCTGAAGGTCAGGAGAGAGTCTGGCTTCTACATCACATATATTGAGGATCCTGCGGAGCGGTTGAAGCAGGAATTTCTTGGTGACCTGTTTTTTATATATGGTAGCAGTAAGGCAGAGCAAGAGGAAGGAGGACAGGGCCGGGGATTCTGGTGACTGTCCAAGAGGAAAGGCCTGGCATCAGTTTCTCCATTTGGTTCACATCCAGCAATTCAGGGGAGCGCAGGCTTTCCGCAGCCTTTCTCCCTCTGCTTCCTGCATCTCCATTGGGTTGTCCCTAGAGAGTGGGGGTCAGAAGCAGGCAGGACAAGATGGCCAAGGCTGGGGAAGACCGCAGCATACCAGGAGACAATGTTGGGGGCCTCAGGAAGGGCCTCACTCTTCAGCACCTCACCCCCCGCCCCCACTGGACAGCTTCTGAATCATTGGCAAACTCAGCCTCTCTGAGCTCAGAGAAGCCCAACAAAACCAGCATGTCTCTGCTTCCAGGGGCTCCAGGGGCTGCAGGGGCCTTCACCTTCCCAATCCCTTTGTAGCCCTGGGCTAGAGGGCTCTTCTGTCATGCCGGGTGCCCAGTAGCTAGTGTGCACCTGCCCCTACCAACCCAGGCCCAAGTGTGGGATCAAGACCCAGAAAAGTGGGTTGTGCAAGGGTGGCCAGATGGCCAGTGGTTACCACCCAGACTTGGACGCCGGTCTTCCTGGGCTCAAATCCAGCTGGACTTCCAGCCAGTTTATAACTTAGGTGCTCTCTGCCTCCATTTCCTGGCCTATAAAATGGGAAGAGCTGCGTTATGAACAGTGTCCATCCAACAAGAGTAAAAAGAATGTCTAGGAGATCCCCTGACACTGGCAGCCAGGAGCAACTAGGAGAAAGACCCAGAAGCCTCCTGGGTGTCCTTTACTGAGCTACAGCTCCACGGGAGCTGCCACTCAGAACATCAGTGTTTGCCTTCCTGAGTAGTTGCAGTTGGTGTTTAGAGCCCATAACTCGGTGGCTCTTCCCCTGACTCATTGGCTCCTCCCATAACCCCGTGACTCCTCCCCTGATACTCAGTAGACGGCAGGCTCTACTTTTACAGTGAAGAAAATAGTCATGGGGAGACTGAGGCCCTTGCCTGGAGGTTCCCCATAGAAGTGCTGGGTTTCCAGTGGTCACCCCCTAGTGAGCATTTGTACCCCCACTTTACAGATGAGGAAACAGTCACCTGTGATTGTCCCTAGGCCATCTTCGGGGCCGGAGGGGCCTCTTCCTCCAGGCTTGAACCAGGTGTTATTTCTGGCTATGCCCTTCTTCTCACAGAGAAACCCAAGAAGGCCCAGACAAAGGCAGGAAGCTGGAGCCTGGGCGCCCAGCCCCTCAGGCAGCCAGCGGTTCCCCTGCACTGGACCCCAAGCCAATCCGAGTCAGTCCCGGCCACATTCCAGAGTGAGTCAGCCTGTGGACAGCTGGGGCTAAGGAGACTCTATTTCAGGGCCTGTGGCCTTCCAGGGCTAATTGACACTCTCACTCTTTTGAGGCTCTGCCAGGCCAGACATTGGGGGAGGGAAATACTTGAGGCTTGGCCCTCCTCTCCTGGGTTCCACGTTCAGACACCAAGACGTCCCTGTGGCCTCTCCTAGAATGCTGATCCCACCAGGCAGGAGCCTCTGATGGGTCCTCACTAATGGACCCCAGAGCCAGATCTGCCGCAGCCTTTGTGAGGCAGGGAAGGGAGCCTGTGGTAGCTCCCTCTGAGGGAACCCCGACTTGAGGATGGTGTCTTCACTGGGTGGTATATCCCAAGACTCAAACTCTGGGAACTGCATGGAACCTGCTAGGTGCTTAAAGAACATACGTCACATGACCGCATTGTGCACGTAGTCAGACTCAGCGAGCAGGCTCGCCTACCAGAGCTGCTGAGAGGATCAAGGCAGGTGAAGAAGCTGGCGTGCAGTCTGGGTTCCGAAACGCTCAGCTCAGAGGCTGGCTTCATTGGCTGTGCATTGCTAGCAGGCTGCCTAACCTCTCTGTGCGAACTTCAATTCAGAGTAGAGGAGGAGCTCCAGGAGGGTTTTCTGGGAAATGGAGCAGGGCTCAGTTCTCCTCTGCGGGTTGGGGAGCTGAGTTTCTCTCCAATTCTCTTAACCTACTTAGCCCAGCCTTTCTCCAGAATGCATCCACAGGCCTCCGGGGGTTCCTATTTTCACTAAGACAGATGCTCCTAAAGCTATTCCACGTTGCTTCCCCCTCTGCCATTGCCTGTTAGAAAAAGCAGATGGCGGAGAGTGAGTGGGCTGTGGCTCCATAGGTAGAAGGCTTGCAAGCACGCGTGGATTCATCCTCAGCATGAGTAAACTGGACATGGTTGCAAACCCGGGACCCCAGCACACATGAAGTGGGGCAGGAGGGTTGGGAGTTTAAGGTCATACTCAAGGCCAAGGCCAGCCCAAGGTACGGGAGCCTGTCTCAAAAAAAAAAAAAAAAAAAAGGAAGGAAGGAAGGAAGGAAGAAAAGGAGGGTTTTCAGATGTTAACCTCCACCAGGCTCAGTGAAAGACTGCCTCACAAAATAAGGAAGAGAGCAACTGAGGACAATACCATGTATCTACCTCCGGCCTCCTCCACAGCACACACACAAACATGTGTACACACAAGGAGGGGCCAGCGAGATGGTCATTCAGGGTAGAGTCATTTGCCGCCAAGCCTGGCCACCCAAATTCACTGCCCAGAACCCACAAGTGGGAGTTAAGAAGCAGCTCCCCCAACTTGTCCTCTGACCTCCACATTCACACGTGTGCCACAGCCCACAGCCCCACACAATGCACACACAAGCATAAATACAGGTAGCCAAATCCTTAGAGACAGCATTGGTAGCGGCGCACGGCCTGCTCGGGGCAGGTTCTTAGTCTGGACTTGGCTTTTGAGGCAGACAGAGAGTCCAGTTTCTTATTACATCTGGCTCCCCACAGCACAGCAGAGGGTCCTGTGACAGACAGACCAGCAGTGGGCTGGAGTGGCAGCAGTAGGAGGCAGGGTCTGTGCTGAGGCTTAGAGGGAGCTGCAGCACCAAACCCAAGGAAGTGTGGCTGTGTTTTCCCAGTTCCACGTGAAGCTGGAGGACTAGATTTTTGTATATGAAGCCCTCCACCCACCCCCACTTGTTACCGGAAGGAACTAACCCCCTAGTAGGACCATTTAGTGACCTCTGTCTTACGCTTGTTAAAAACGACATCTATTCCTACATAGAAACCTCGCCTCCTTCCCAGCCCAGGCTACACCTTCCTCAATAACACCGAGGACCCCCTCTAATCC